GAAATTGACAGAATGCGCTACCGCGTAATGAGATGCAAATAATCCAATTTGCGTAATTGTGCAAGTGATCGAATAACTCATTCGCACGGAACGGTCGCACCAAAATGGTCCATGCATTAGTTAAAAACCACAACTACTTAGTGCCTGGTGAAAGAGCAAGACATGAATTCAGTGAACGGTATCGCTGCGAATCATGAGCTCAGACAATATCTTTTTTTGAGGCAGAGAAAGTTTGGACGTATTTCTACGACAGACAGTAATGTAATTACAACTAAGAACTGAAACATACGAGTACATGCTATAAACTGATTTCATCACCAACGTAACTGCCTACATGTTGTATGTATATCTATTTTAAACAACAGAAGTTGAGTTCTGAAGAATACCATGTAAATAGACATTTGTACATGTAGTACTCTTAGTTTTAAGTGTCTTTGTAAAAAAATTCTCTGTTTATAAATATCTTTGTTTATAGATATGTATCTTTATAATCTAATATATAAAATTCCGAAACTCTTCCGAAACGGCTGGATCGATTTTAATAAAATTTTGTGTGTATATCGGGTAGCGTATTTTTCTTTTAATTTTTCTTAATTTAATTATAATTTAGCATTGAAAAATACATACAACAATAATGTACATATATAGCAAAACAACGTTTGCCAAGTCAGCTTGGTATTAAATATAAATATTCATGTGTTTTATCTATTTTATCTCATGATGCAACTAAATTATTTCCTTTTCTATTAGCATACATATTCATTTACCCTGACAGACAAACATGATAGTGATGGCGCCGTTGATAAAAGTACTTATAACTATATCTATAAAATTGACCAAAGATTTAAAAAAAAATCGAAAAGAATATGCAAAGCAAAGAACCTTCACCTTGTAAATAAAAAATATTTTTTTTCTGTATTAAATTTCAGATGAATAAACAAATTGTTTTCGCGGATGCCAAAAGTAGCACGTCATCTTCGACTTTAATAAAAAACGACACGCGATTCCCAGGAATATACCAATTCCGAAATTGCCCTTATTTAATTTGTTCTAATCCATTGTATAGTTAGCAAGAGCCACGATTGTTTGCTTTAAAGTTCTTTTATTAGTTTAAAATATTAAGGCGGCTTTCATTTTACCACTTTAATTGAAGTAATTTCTACAGAACGGGATGGAACTTTCTCCGAAAACATTTCCTTTGGACGCTGAGGAATTGAAATAATTAACAAACAGATAAGATAACGTTATTGAAAGAAGGATCAATTTACATTTAATTTAATTTATTCATTTAAGGCGAACATATTTTGTTTCGTTTAAACAAACTACACGTTTATAATCAAGTGAATTACATAAATTGATGGACACTTAAAAGTTAAATTGTGTATAACACGAGGCAATTTATAATATTTAATCCACCCATTATTTTAGAACTTTTTTTTTTCGGATGGACTTATTATTTGGATGTCCGTATTAATCAACCGAGTCGTAATGTTAAGGAAGACTTTATATACACGCGACTAACAGGCGTAGTCACCGGTTCGAGTCTCGTCGAAATCTCGTTCAAATGGATTAAATGGTGAATTGAAATATGTTTTATTTAATTACTAAAATGTTGATGACATTTAACCTTAAATTTAAGGCAGCAGTAATATAAAATATCTACTTTGGCCATACCATCTGTATTTTTACCGCATTACAGTAAAGTACGCGAAGGCAGTGAACTTTACAACAAATTTTACCTACTGTTATAAAAATAATAAAATCACGTACATGTATACATTATCCATACTGGCGATAAAAGTGGCACTTGACCGCATCTCTATGCATCTTTAAGTATCAGAGTATTCAAGAAATGAAGTTTGTATGACTGGCACAGTACAAATACTCATAGTGTTACAGAAACCGCCAGAAACAACAGAAACTGACTGCGCACATGGGACAACACTTTGTGTGATGCACAAATTGTCGTTCCGAGTCTGGGTGGTCTTTGTGCCCGTTTATATTCCTGGTGCGGCAGTTGTCTTTTGAAAAGAAGAAAGAAACCATGTTTTACCCTATATGATGCAAAGCGCTAACAACTTCAGCCCTTTTTGTAACACTGTTATAATAATAAATAATTTTGCCACAGTTATAAAAACTGTGCGTTTTAAGTGTAAGAGCTTGTGATCAAATCGCTGAAGGTTAGGCTCATATTACAGTGATCCCTGAATTACCTGTCATTACCTCCTACTGCTGATCGAATAGGCCACAAACTAACAGTTAATAATTTTATTTTCACGGTATATTAACTGCTTCAAGCCGCCATGCATACACTTTCCAGGTTACAATATATCTCTTTAAGGTCTGTAAAAAGTAAAAAGTGAATACGATAAATTTAAAATTCAATTATATGATATTACCGTAAGGATATGTTACTCCCTATAAACTCGGATATGATATACAAGGGCGAAGTATAATAGTTATAGTACATAGTACCTATAGAAGTGTAATAAAAACTCATAAATGCTTGACCATAATTACGCACAAAATCTATTAACAATACACCTTATAAGATAAAAAGGTAAGGCTTCAAACATTTGTTAATCCATTAGAATTTCTAAACAGTTGTTGTTTTTAATTTTATGGACTGTCAACAACAGCACCTTTTAACCGTCTCTCGACGGCGACGTGTAAATTGAATCCCATGTACCTACTTATCGTTATCTAACAGGCCTTGTCCTATGAATGTAACTACAACTCAGTATGGTAATATTATTTTAGTTATTTTTATTTTTTGTCTTTAACTGAGTATATAGAATAGAGACTAATTCTTAGTTATAATCTAGTCAATAAAGGAAAGGTGTTCACCTTATCTACCCTACAAGTATTTTTTGCATCCTTTAAAAATGTTGATTTTCTCCGTGAAAGGTATTCTACATCCATTATCCTACATTCCAACGATAAAATGTATGCAAAATTTTACCAAGATCGGTTAAACAGTATGGTCATGCATTAAATCGAACAAACATTGATTTTTGTATAACAATCGAATTTCAATTTGAAAAAAAATAAAAATCAATTTCATTAGAACTAGAAAACCTACGTAATATGTTTTTTCTGGCTAAACATAATGCTTCGTATGGATTTATTGCCGAACATATTATCTTTTGATTTAGATTTACAATAAGTGATCTCTAAAAATTTTTGATCTATACTATGGGGTAATTTTCTACAATTTACTAATCATGATGTTACCAAAAACAATGACTACAATTTACAAAAAAGTAACTCATAAATCCATGCAAGAAGAAGAAGTAAATCGGCAAATAATAAATACAAGGAAGTTTACGCTCAATGGTTTTAGTCCAAAGCTTTTTAAACACTATCTTACCTAACTACAACATTGATTTTCTGTTTTTCGGTGTAATTTATTATTACTGATTTATATTATTTAAAGAAAAATAAAGCAACTTTAATATCTCATATCACTTAGTAATTAACTGAACAATCAAATTTAATGATATTCACGGTAAAATTATTCCGTCTTTTATTAGACTATAAATGACACTTAACTAGAGAGCATATTTCTTTTATTATAGTTTATTATCGTTATCGGAAAGATAGAGAAAGCGAGCAAAGAAGTATGTTTTTTTTATACGGCTGTTAAAGGTTTTCTTTCAATAGGTTTGTAAAGTCTTAGTCACTTTAAATAAAAGAAATCTCTATTTTAGGTAAAAGAGGGCGCCATAAGATACGTCATCTATGATTAATACTATAATAATACTAGCACTTACCAACTCATGTTAACACTACTTTCTAAACTATAATTGTTCAAAATTGTCTGTTTGTTTAAATTATTATATGAATTGCTTAATTCGTAGACATTAAACCTTTCGATTTTATGTATGTAATGTAAAATTGTAATGAAAATTGATTTCGATATTGGTGTGAAATAGTGAAAGTTTATTTCATTATATAATCATAATTAGATATACGCAGAATGTTTCACGTGAACGTTTATTTTATCGAAGATATTTACAATTAATCTAAAATAAAAACTTGACAGCGGTGTGTCGGTACCCATTTATAAAATTAACTATAAGAAGTAAAATAAGAAGTAACTAACAATTATCAAGAATCTACTATCCTAAAATTTGTAGCCTTGACGTGGAAGTAATGCAGGCCCTTCGATAATTATTAAATAGAACTTAGAATGTTTTTTATATACAGGCTATATCAGATGGTGACAACACTGATTAAAAATCTTTGAAACCTTAAATATTTTTTTTCATTCTTTGCTTCCCTTGTCTACACTATATTTTCAATGCAAAAAATTATCTAAGTAATCTAAAGACGGATTATTAAATAACCACGCTAATTGCACATTACTACTATTCGTTCTTAACCCTTACAGCTAAGCAAAATTCATATTCATAGTGGGTTCGAGAGAGCAGTTCACAGGATGAAATTCTACCCCACAACCATTTGAGCTCAATTCCGACACCATAACTATAACGCTACCATAACTATTCGCTTTTTCTTATTTATTTTTATCTATAAAAGAGTATATTAATTTATGAATCTACAACAAACTTGAAAATATTTGATTAAGAAATAACGTATGTTATCGAAACCGTTGAATACATGAGTCGTATTTCCTATTATTTATCGTTTGTTACCTCATAAATTGCTTCAACCATAAATATTAGTTCTGACAGTGTGTAGATTAAGTCTTTAAGTTCAATTAAGAACCGGCCGTAAATCATTTTTGTAATTTTAAAAATAAACTTCGGTAAAAGCTAGTTTAATCTAAATGGATAAGACTGGTAGGTTTTTTGGTATACGTTTATACCTTAACGCTTAGAGAAAAATGTAATTACGTAAATAATGAGGAAAACGAGTGTAAGGTTTCTACCTCAGTGGCAGCCCTACATAAAAGGACCGTGTGCAATTATTATTTTTTAAATTTAGTTGATGTGTTCTGTTAAGATTCTATTAAAATATAAGGACCGTATACTGACTGTCTGTGAGGTGGTTGAATGCTGTGACGTCATCGTTAAGCCTTCCCTGCATACGCCGCAGCTTCGTGCTCAAGTCCCGTGTGTGAAGGAACAGGAACAACGTGCAAGATACCGCCACCAGCGCAACCAGCTCGCTCGTTCTGCAACAAGAAAAAGTTTTCTTTAAAATTTTACTTCACAAAAGAATTTTTATGTAGACACTATTACTTAAAACCAAACCTATTGTCAAAGTAAAAAGAGTTATTTCACTCAAAGTGCTCCAAAAAGTCCTGTATGCGATGTAGTTAGGGTTTATAATTGAATGCATACTATTTGTTTTATTGCATAGTAAAAAATAATTAGGTCGTTATTGGTCCAGCTGTTATAAATTTGAATTGATTAAAAGAGTTTGAGTTTAGATAGTAATGAACCAAAATATTAACAAAACGTATAATAAAGGACCTGAAATGAATCGCCTGGCAGGAGGATCTTTGGGTTAGAACCTTAATTTGTATTCCAGTCACAAACCGCTCAATCAGCGAATGAAATCAAAAAGGGATCAGAACAAACAGTTCTGATTCTGTCCATAGATTTATGTGTGGTGATATGAAATTTAGAATTTCAATACTATCTTTTACTCGAAGTTGCTCTAGTACGGTTATAAGTTCACTGCTGTTTAGTTAAAAAACTACGGTGCTTTAAAGCTTCAAGCTTGTAGTTATTTGGATGTACATTTTTTTTTTATCTTATGTTTACAATCATGTAAGTTTCAGTTTCAGAAAAATAGAATCAACAGAAGAGTATAGTTGTACCAGCTGTATACTGTATTGTTCAATCTATTGGCTAGTCTTGGTAGGGGCACTACCGTGCTCAGGTGCTGATGTTGGTAGCAGCAATTCTAATGTTTATGTGGTGCTGGTATTCTATACACGACAAAACCCGTGACACTTATTTCATTAAAGACTATTTAAGCTGTTATAAATCAATTTAAAACATTACGCTATTATTATATCGTAAAAGTTTTTTGAAAAAAACCAAATAAATAAAAGGCCACTAAAAAATATATAATAAAAAGGACACAAAGAACACTCAGACTTAGAACAACAATTTGTGGATCACACAATATGTTGTCCCTTGTGAGGATCGAACGCACAACACCCAGCGCAGTAAGAAGAGGCGAGGTGCCCGCTTAAACCGCTACACTATCCGTGCAGTCTATATTGGAAACCATTCGATAATCTAAACTTTCGATATTTATTTTAGTTTTTTTAATTTAAGGCTATTCAATAATGTTGTGAACATCGACATTTTATCTGCTTATTGCTGCTGCGTGATTATAAATATTACTGTATATATTTAAATGATTAACATTTTCTTGTAAATTGCATTTTCTTAGGACACGAACATTATGTTTTGTTAGTAATTTGAAAACAGCACCACAAAAATAATTATTTTATTTATATTCGGAACCACGGTCCCGTTCTTGAAAATATCACGACCCTTTACGTGTTTATTAGTATTTACCTTTATACTAAATTTATCCTCTTAAATTAATTAATGATTAAATTTGGTATATACTTCTTTTATGTAGAAATACACTTTTGAATGACTTGATGGCATGATGGTTACAACGCGGGAGCGCCGGTGAGGATTTAATCAGTAAATTGTAATATAGACCAAATCAAAGGGCTCTCTAATACACGCGCCTTATTATTGAAATGCTTAAATTAGTTTCGTACGTTCGTAACTATGGATATAAATCTTGCAACTTCTAATTATTTAATTGTTTCGGTATCAATGTTTCATCGATACCACTTTTCAAATATAATTGTGTAGTACCGACAATGTGTGGACATACATAGGCCTCTCCCATTACATGCCACATCGATCGATGGCCAGCAGTGGACCGCGATAGGCTGATGATAATGACAATGTATATACTCGTATCACAGAACAGAGCATTTCTGTTCTGTAGAATATATAGTCAAACAAACTAGTCAGCTTCAAGTGGAATCGATTCCTACCCAGGACCAACAGTTGTGTGTTGAGCACGATCAATTGTTATGATTCTGACTGTAATTTGACTATAATATGTGTGTATTTAGAAATATATAGTATGTTTATCAGCAGTCTGATCACCATAAGCCTCCACCTAGTATGGGATCAGGCGGTCGTGGGTGAGATACTTCAAGATATTATTATTAAGGAATGGAAGAATCACAGTATGTATATAACCATGAACTTAGATTACAGTCTTCAGGTGGTCAGTAAACAAGTAAAAGAAGGATTTTAAACTCTATAACCGTCATAAACATTAAGCTCGGCATTTCTAAAATTTTCCGAAGAAATTTCCGAAGAAGAGAGCAGAAGAGGGGATGGCTAAGTGAGTTAGAATGGAAACTTTCGGTAACATCACCAAAGATGGTAAATTTAAAAAATATAAAAGACAGTTATTGTCAGTTATGAGTTGCCTTTTCACGAAATCATGATGCATATTAATAACTACTAATATATTAGAAGACTACACTAAACGTAACCTAACACCTCTCTTTTCTAACTGTTTAACTAGTACTAACCATCAAAAGTAAACAAGTAACCCAATAGTATCCTTTTAGTTTTGTTATTTTCCTTTCTCACTAACACAATTTATCTATTTTGTAGAAACATCCAATAAAAGGTAACTAAGTTATTCTACCGGATAACGGTGATTATGTAAATTGAATGCAAAACCTGGCTTCTCATCATGTTTTGCATTAAACGTTTGTAAATGAAATGATTATAATACATGAAAGTCGGCTTCGAATCAATTAGCATAAGTATTCTACTGTCCTACTTAATAGTTCTGAGTTTTTGTTTATGTTTTGTACTAAAAAAAATGGCTGTTAAAAAAAGGTAGCTAATTTAATAGAGAGGAAAAAAGTAACAGTATGTATATTTAAAATACCATTTAATTTTAAATATTCATATTCATCTTCCATGATAAAAATGTTGAAACTTCTTACTGGTCGTTATTAATGTCACTTATTAAAAAGGTATAACGATTCTGAAAGCTGATATGAACGTTCAATATGCTTGACTTTAGCTGGTAGAGGTAGGCTCTTTTCAAGCAGATGGTTTGATTTACTTTTAAGGATACTACTAATACTTCCAGTACTCTTCGACCTCTTTGTACCTGAAGAAAATAAATAGATGTTTTTAATATGATGATAAATTTTAACACTAGACAAACACGATGACGATGGATGGCGTAGTGGTTTAAGCGGTCGCCACGCCGTTTTCTACTGCGCCGAGTGTTGTGGGTTCAAACCCGATGACACTTTGTGTGATCCACAAATTGTTGTTCTGAGTCTGGGTGTTCTTTGTGTCCGTTTCATGTATGTTTGTAAAGTCCCCCACGACACAGGATATATTCATAAGGCGGGGTTGTCTTTTAAAAAATAAGAAAAAAAAAAGACGTAGCCCCTTTTTATTTGAATAAATCACAATACAGAAAGGTTTTTGCATTGCCGAGATATCAAAAAAAGTGCATAACAACATAAAACACAATGATTAATTAAAAAAAATAAGTAAACAGCATATTCCGTATCTTAAAATATACCTATGTAAATGGGTATGAGTTTTATAACCTATAAAGTTCTACAATGTATATTTGTACAAAAGTGTTGTAATGCTGAAATCAATAAACTGGTATTCTATTCTAAAAATAATTTATTAATCTGCAATATAAAAGGAACTATTTATCTAAAAAGTGACCGTGTTGGCTCGGGAGAATTGTAATAAAACGAAGACAAGTCGAGACGACCGATGACCAGGCACGTCTTATTTTTTGCACTCTCATAGCTCTTATTTAGCGAGGCGAGCGAGGTATCCCTAGTCGAGAATTCGTGACGTGTCTATTAATAGAAGCTATCAATTTATCGAGCTGTTCGGTAAACTTTTACACTCGAACTCACCTAGTCGTGAAGATTCACTAGCTAGACCAATCATGATCCCTTTTATGTCAATCTTATTTTAATTCACGTGAGATGAATGTGTTTCTATTGAATTATTTTGTACATCCTTGCAATATATATCTACATGAATTTGACTAGCTTTGGACGACTTTAGTTTTCATACATCAAAACCAAATTTATGTAATTCTATCAAGTTACAAAATAAAAAATGCATTTACAAATATGTTTAGTAAATGCATTACAAAGTGGTATTATGGTTAACGAAGCCATGCCCTAACAAACCCTTTAGCAAAGTAGATTATTAGAACAAGAATATTGCTTAGTCACCAAGCCATATTGATAGTAAAGTTATTTAAGAGTTAACTACCAGAATGTCATCAGAACTAGCTAGCTGTAAATACTAAACTCTCGATGTAATGTCTAGACATACGAAACAGATGTGTTCCTTTTTCAAAAAGTGTTCCTTTTTTTGAAGTCGATTAAAATAATTTTAATTAGTAAACCGTAATAGGTAGATGAGTCATCATTTCAGTTCGTGGACTGTACATCTCTATCATAAAACAGTAATAGACAATTGATTTTGTAACATTCTTGGTGATATTTCCTCTATTACATAAGCTTTTGACCTTTTGTATTAAAATAGGCGTAAAGGAAATTATCGCCTGAAAAGAACTCGCAGCTCATGAGTAAAAGGTAAATGCTATGTTATTTGACAAATGTTTGTAATGTTTATATAATAAGTATAAAAACACCGTGGGAATTGAACTTTTATTAAAAAAGTGCTGTCTGGGTAACGGCAATGATTACCCTTCTGGAGGTTCTAAATTCTATTTTTAATTTTTTTATTTATTTATTAAACAAAAGGGAAAGGTGGTAATTTGGTGTAAGACAACACAATTTTAATATAAATATTCATACTCATATTCATATTGTTATTATTATGTCTGCTTTCACCTGTCTGTCTATCTGTTTGTTCTAGCTGATCTCTGGAACTTGTGGATTGATTTTCCCGGATTTTTCATTGTCAGATAGCATAATAAATAATATATTATAAGGAGTAATTTAAAAAAGTGTAAATATGAAGTTTTACAGCACAGTAGCTTTCCGGACGGGCCTGTTGTTCGAGTAATAAGTGACCCTGACTGCTAAGCCGGAGGTCGTGGGTTAAATTCCCACACAGGACAAATATTGTGTGTTATATTAGTATA